GGACTCCAGAGCAGTGTTGCAGGATTCTTTGCTGTCCTCCAGCAACAGTGAGGGAGAGGGAGTGGGTGTACGGAGTTTTAGCTATCTGTAAAATAATCCCAGGAAAGACTAAATTGCATTTATTGGAGAGTCAAGTCTGAGTATGCTCTCCGCAAGACATAAAGCATTAGGGTTAATACCATGAAAAATGGAGAACTCGGCAGCCTGCTAACATGTCAAAAATAGTTTACACCTCTAAAATTGAGTGATATTTTTAATTCTGGGTGGTGGGATTTTTGAAAAGTGATAAACATTGGCCTAACCCTGATCCTGTCAAGGGCCAGACTTCACTGGGCACATGCAGGCCGACAGCTTTTGAAGACCTCAACTAAATAAAAAAGTTGGAAAATAAACATGTTTCTGGTTCATCATCTAGCAGTGGTTGAGGTTAGAACCGTTGTTTTGAAAACGGTCATGTCAGTCTTTATATCCTCAAGGTACTTGGCCCCCTGAGCTGGGAGACACCTATGGAGAGTAGAAGAAGCCCCCTGTAATCCAGGAGGAAACAGTCAGGGACCTGCTACTCCACTTGGACACCCACAAGTCCATGGGGCCACGTGGGATCCCCCCGAGGGTTCTGAAGGAGCTGGCAGAAGTGCTCGCCAAGCCGCTCTCCGTCATCCATCAATGGCCTTGGTCATTAGGGGAGGTCCCAGGGGACTGGGGAGTGGCCAGTGTGACCCCTCATCTACAAGAAGGGCTGGATGGAGGATCCGAGGAACTACAGGGCTGTCAGCCTGACATTGGTATCAGAGAAAGTTCTGGAGCGGATAGATTGTCTTGAGGGCGATCACACAGCATGCGTGTAACAACCAGGGGTTCATGAACACGGGTTCATGAAATGCAGGTCCTGCCTCACAATCCTGATGTCCTTCTATGACCAGGTGACCGGTCTAGTGAATGAGGGAAAGGCCATGGATACAGTCCCCTCTGCCTTCTGGAGAAGCCAGCAGCTCCTGGCTTTGACAGGTGCCCTTTTCAATGGGTGAAGAACCATCTGGATGGCCGAGCCCTGAGAGAGGTTGTGAATGGAGCTAAATCCAGTTGCCGGTCACAAGCGTTGTTCCCCAGGGATCAGTGTTGGGGCCGGGCCTCTTTAATGTCTTTATCAATGGTCTGGATGAGGGGATTGAGGGCACCCACAGCAAATTTGCAGATGACACCAAGCTGGGAGGAAGAGTCGACCTGCTTGAGGGTAGGAAGGCTCTGCAGAGGGGTCTGGACAGGCTGGATCCATGGGCTGAGACCAACTGTGTGAGGTGACACAAGGCCAAGTGGCGGAGATTGCGGGTCGAGAGCGGCTGAGCAGGAGCCAGCAGTGAGCCCAGGTGGCCAAGAAGGCCAGCGGCCTCCTGCTGGTGTCAGGAACAGGGCAGCCAGCAGGAGCAGGACAGGGATTGCCCCCTGTGTTCGGTGCTGCTGAGGCCGCTCCTTGAACTCTGTGTTCAGGTTGGGGTCCCTCACTGCAAGAAGGACATGGAGGCCCTGGAGCATGTCCAGAGAAGGGCAGTGAAGCTGGTGCCGGGCTGGAGCACAGAGCTGACCAGGAGCGGCTGAGGGAGATGGGTTATCCCGTGTGGAGAAGAGGAGGCTCCAGGGAGACCCTATCACTCCCTACAACTACCCAAAAGGAGGCTGTAGTGAGGGGGAGATCGATCTCTTCTCCAGAATAACTACCCATAGGACAAGAGGAAATGGCCTCAAGTTGCGCCAGGTTAGATAGTAGGTTCAGGTTAGATAGTAGGAAAAAATTATCCACAGAAAGAGTAGTCAAGCATTGGAACAGGCTGCCGAAGGATGTGGTGGAGTCGCTGTCTCTGGTCGTTTTCAAGAAAGGAGTAGATGAGGCACTTAGGGACATGGTTTAACAGGCGTGGTGTTGAGGGGCTTATGGTTGGACTCAGTGATCTTGAAGGTCTTTTCCAACCATAATGGTTCTATGATTCTATTTTATGATCTACAAACACTGTCTCCAACTGAAATTCTCGCCCCTACCACATGGGGAAGGAGCTGTCCTTCGGTGTTCTTTGCCAATCTCTGCTTGGCAAGTGCAGCTACTGAGGCTTGCAGCATCGTGGTCCAGGGTGATCCACTGGGATTTGAGATGGTTTGTGCTGAGGAAATCTAAGAAATCCTGAATTACAGGCTTCGTTCAACACTGGGAACATCGATGGTGAATTGTCCTCCAGCACCACAGCAGGCAGTGAGGAGAGCTGGGGGTCACTGAGTTTCAGCCATGGCAGCCATGTACTTCCATGTTCGCCCCAACGGTGTCCTCATTACTTGTATTTGGCTGGACAACCATGTGGCAGCAAAGGATCTGGGGGTGCTGGTCCACAGCTGGATGAACAGGAGCCAGCAGTGAGCCCAGGTGGCCACAAAAGCCAGCAGCCTTGCAATAGTGTTGGGCTCATCTCACCCTCTTGATCTTAAAAAGAGAAAAATGTGGCTTGAAATGTGTGTAACCTCAAGGTTTGGTGGTGTCCTGAGCCTCAAAGTCTTCGTTCCCTTGGGTGATGGAGCAGGACACATGCCGGGAAGGCTGCTTGCTGGGTTTGTGCTCCACCTGTGCCCAGAACTTGGGCATAGCACTGGGAGGAGGTTGCTCCCAATAAGGGCTGTGCTGCACTGGCCAGAGGTGCATGGGGAAACACAGAGCCTTTCCACTGAGAAGCGGAGAGAACTGTGTGAGAGAGCAAGGCTGCGGGCTGGACGGGTTCCCCATCTTCCCCGAGCTCCGTGCAGCTCGTTCCTGACCTTGGCAAGCTTGTGTGCCATGGCTGGAGTGGGGAAGCGTAGGGACTGTCTGTATGAGAGTCCTAAATCTCATTTATTAAGTTATTACAGCTTCAGGAGTCATGGTGGTGCAGTCTTACAAGCCAAAATCATGCTGTTTACTCAGGTTTTAAGGCAAAAGAGAACCTGTCTGAACATGATCAGCAGGCAGCTCTCCAAGAATTTGGATCAAGGCTACAACCCGTGTGTACATGGTTAGAAACGCTGTTTGGTGCCTGGTGTGTGTGTTGGGGAGCATCCCAACAGATGGGCTTCCCGTTTCATTGGGGCTTTAAGTTAGAGTTGGGTGTCTTGCATCTCAGCTTCCCTCACTTCCCTCAGTCCTCTTGCTACTTCACTCTGCCTTTTTGATGTTGCCTCCAGAGCATGTTAAAGGACTTTATCAGCTGAAGGTAAAATATTTCTAATCACAAATCTGGCAGCATTCTGCAAAAGAGGAGGAAGAACATTTGGTCCTCAAAGTAAATCTTCCCTGTACATGAGTTCACTGAGTCTTCCATTGCACACTTCAGTCTGATTATTAAAAAACAAAACAAAACAAAAAAACTTTCATTTTATTGTTGTCTCAGGGTTCAAAAGACCAAATCTGGGACTTTGTGGCCTAGCATATTTGCATTTAGAAGACCATAAATGCAGTGTTCCCCATTTCTGTAGGTCTTCCTTCTCTTTCAAAGTCAGGCTGCAGTGTTGTGTTCAGCCAGCTCGTCCAAAGGGCACCCTCGCCATGATCCCGTCTTCAAGGGCGACTGGTAGGAGAGAGCACAGGAGACAGGGCTACTGTGAAACCCTTCCCTATGTCCTCAGTTTCTGGAAACAGCAGCAGTGAGGTGATATTTAGGTTGTCAAGATCTGTAGGCCTTAAAGATATATGTATATATATAGAGAGATTTTTCTTCCTTGAATGGATCCGATGACTTTGCTGTCTTTAATATTGTAAGTATGTGTTTACATTGCATTTTTTTTTTTTTGTTGGGGCAGGAGCAATGTTAAAAATCTTCCCTTGCTTATGCTCTGTGAACACCAGGAAATAACGTTGTTCATGTCTCCTCTTTGCAAAAGAGCCTTATTCTGGAGCTCCCCTTCTGTTGACACTGTTCTCTCTGTCAGGGCTGCCCCCTCGGGGATGGGGAGCCACGGGAAATCGTGGAGCCGGCAGAACCAGAGCCTTGTCAGACAGGGATCAGTCCTGCAATTCCCAAGTGAGGCAGGCCAGGGATGGCAGACAGGTGCAACCAAGAGTCCAGGTCACCGGGCAAGCTCACGGTGATGAGGAAGGTCCAAGATCAAGTCAAGAAGTCAGCTCGCAGCTCAGGGTCAGGTCCAGTAATTGCCAGGCAGATCCAGGATCAAGCTGGGAAGGTGGTATCTGGATCAGCGTCCATGACGAGGCACAACTGAACTGAGAACTATTATTATTCCAGGACTGCTCAAGCAGAGACTGAAGGCAGGAGGATGAGCTTAAATAGAGCTCCTGGCCCTATGGACAGTGTGGATGCACAACCCCGGTGAGGCTGGTCAGAGCCAGTACGGCCTGCTAAGTCCTCTGCAGATCATACATGCTTCCTCTGACCTGCTCATTCCTTGCTAAACAAGTTAAACATTGCTGAGAGTGTGGGAAAAAAAAATGGTTATATATGATGAACTTCATGCCCTCCCCATGCTTAACACGTTGCTTGTGAAATGCAGTCCTATAACCAGTTAGAAGGAAATCATGGAAATCATAAGTAACTGTCCAGATGGGCAACTGAAAAGGAGAGGTCAGGGACCTCTGTCTTCTCCTGGTTAAGGGTTCCCGAACTAACAGTTACAAGTCCATCACAGTGGTAGAAGCCCCAGAGAGAGACAGGAACCGTTGTTGTTTGTGGTGGGACCTGCCAAGCTCATTCCTTCTTTGGTGATGCCATGTTAAAAAAAAAAAAAAAAAGGTATTTGCAGGCTCTGAGCTGGCTTCTCACCGAAAAGGCTTTCCTAGGATCATGTTGGTACCAGCAGTGATTGTCATGCTGTTCTCTTTTGGGTTCAGTGGCACTAAGCTGTGCTTTAATGTGTCTTAAAGGGTATCCTGCTATGAGCTGGTGAAAAAGGACCCTCCTCCACAGTCTCTTTCTCACTCCTTTGTCACGTTTGTACTACCCAACCTGATTTCTTCCTTACTTGCAGTTTTGTGCTCTGTGCCTGGGCGAAGTGATGGACGGCAGAGCAGAGATGGAAGTTGTGAGAAGCACAAAGGGGAATCCTGCTGGAGAGGTCAGTGTCCACGTGGTCACCACTGAGAGCACTGTGCAGAGCACTCACCTGCCAACAACTGCCTTCATCATACCAGGTAGGTGGGATTGTCCCCTGGATCTGCTGCCTTCACAGCCTGCTCACCGTGGATTGCTTCCCTCCTATGTGTGTGTGTCTGTGCTCCTTATAAGCCCTAGGAAGCAAAGCTGTGAGGCTGTCCCCATCTCTGTGACAGATCAAAATCTCCTAAGTCTTAAACCGAAGCCCTAATCTTTGAGGGCTGCTGCTCCCTTGCAGCGCAGTGTGCGGAGGTTGGACGCCTGCTTTGTGGGCCATGTGGGTGCTTGAGCTGCTGTATTGGGCCTGGTCTGGCCCAGCGCACCGGTGTCTTTCCGGACATGTGCAGACAAAGCCCATACGCGCCTGGATGTGCCTACGTTAGCATTTAGGTGAGATCTCTCCCAATTTTTTCCCGCTCCCTGAGTCTTAGTTCCCTCTGTAGAGAGGCCCCAGCCTGCATACTGCTGCCTCTGGCTGCAGACCCCATTGAGTTCCATTCCCTGCTCATTTACGTTAGCCTGCAACACTGAGGCCCTGGCTGAGAGACTGTCTCCTCTTCATCACTTCGTGCTGTTTGGGGCTGAATCTATGAAGAGTTTTCTGGATGGCTCTGTTTCTTTCTTTTTTTTCTCACCTCAAGCAAATGCCACTACTATCAACCTTCCTGCCAGCGCCTTAGAAATCCAGCGATTCCCCCGGGAGCCGCAGAGGAACACAGGGGCCGAGAGGCCAGAGAGAGGAGCAGGGAATGAGCCCATTACAGCCACTGTCATCCCCCAGATCAGTGGGGTGCAGACCTGCAACACAGTCCGTGTGCTGGAGTGGAAAGATGGGGTGGCTACTCTGCCCGGGAGCAACCTACGGGTAAGTGTGACCATGGCCCCCTGCTTCGTCCCCCTCAGCTGCTTGCCTTTGGCAGTGGAAACTCCTGTGCTAACCAGGAAACACTTAGCTGTGACGTGGCCACCCTGGCAGGACTTGCACCCTCAGCAGTACCTGCATCCCCCAGCTGTTCCTGCTCTCTCTTTTCATGCTCTATCGCAGCAAGCGCAGAGTGTGCGCAAGGCACTGACAGGATGTGGCAGCTCTGTCCTGCACAGGCAGCAGAGGAGGGTGCTTGCAGGGCAGGGTGTCTTGCCTTTCCCAGCTTTGCTGTGGAGTTGCCCAGACTCCTGCATTCCCATTGGAAACAGTGGCCTTGCACTACTCGGGCACTGGGTGCCTTTAGGTCTGCTGTGGCTAGGGAGCGCGGTGGCCTGGTATCATGAAGCAGCTTGCACAAAGTGCACTCTGTTTCCTCCAGTTTCTGAACTGCTCTCAGATCCAGAGCGCTGTATCCTCCCCACTTGATGCTACCAGCCGGTGCTGGTCTCGCCTAAGTGCAGGCAGGAAGCAGGGGAGGGTTGGACACTGTGTCTTGTGTTTCGTCCATCTCCTTGAGCCATGTGTCTCCCTACTAGTAGAGCAGCCTAGCAGGCTTGACAGCCAGCAGAGACTGCACGTTAGGACAGCATAGCACGAGACTTCATTGCAATCCTCAGCTTTGTGCTTCTTGGAGAGCTGTCCCCTTGTTGGACACCACGTCCCTCATTTTGAGAGCTCGCCCGTACTCACTCCCTGTTGTGTTAAATTTCTATTCCCCGTGTTAATTTTTTGCCTTCTGTTTTTTTTTTTTTTTTTTCTCTGGGTCTGTGACATAGTTTCGGATAAATGAGTATGGGACGCTGAAGGTGGTGAGCGCTGATAAGATGCCTCCGGTGGAACCTATAAAGGAGAGTCACCCAGAGAAAGACGGGGACTTGGAGGTGCCACCCAGCAGCAGGGACAATCCTACCGTTGCTCAGGGTAAGGGCACTGCTGTGGCACTTCTGGGGTTGGTACCATCATGCAGCAGGTCCTATCTGGCTTAGACCCCAAGTGAGGCAAATATTTACTGCTTCCTGCTCTCCTTCCTTCACTGATCTTTGGGCCTCCCTGCTTCTCTTCTCTCTCTCCTAAATCAGACGTTCCAGAGCAGCCCAAGCTGCCCACAGCAGAGAGCATGTGTCACTGTGATACCTGCGGCCGCAGGCATGTCTTGGATGGGACCAGGGAACGCAGGGGGTTCTGCAGTGAACACTGTCACCAGCAGTTCAAAGAAAGGTAAAGCAGAGG